TTTACCTGAACACGCACACACACACATGCAGACATGGTCTTATTGAAGATCTTGCTCTTAACTGATGTCATCCACAACTGACACGCCCCTGCTGTTGCATAGAATATATTTATGCAAGATTTTGACCTTATTTTGTAGCTTGCAGCAGGACTCTTGACCCTCGGGTCGTTTTTCTGTTTTAAGTTTTAGTTTTTATTTTTAATTTTTTATATTTTTATTAAATTTTCGTTACATTTATGATGGATAAGGACACGGACGACATCTTTACCTGACAGTATTAGAGTTATTTAAAACAAGAATCTAATGCTGCCCGGTAAGATGTGAACAGATGTCCTAGCAAATTGGCAATTGCAGATAAATATTATTACGATTATTAATATATTTTATTTTTCAATATTTAATTGTTTATATGGTGACATATTGGCATATGAATGCAGATACCCAAACGCCAAGCAACTTTCTGTTTTTTACGGGTGTGTTTCCGACGCCAACGGCGAAATTCTACTTTGGACCGGAGCGCGCGTGATGGCCATGGGGGAGAGGATGAAGAGGCTAAAAAAAGCAACGCCTACCAGCGTGTATAACAATTTGAAATGGTGCACAGTTGGTGTACTGCATACACACACACACACATACACAAACTATTATTGTTGATGTATTTATAATTAAATCGACGACGTTGGCGCCAGTCAACAGTAACGCGATTTGTTGGTTACGCCAAGCACACACACACATACACGCGCACAATTTAATTGTTGTAAATATATATACATATATATATATATGGATATATATACATACATACATTTGTTGTATGCGGCGATCGAATATTTGTGTACTGGAAAAACGTTAATTGAATATTTACACTTTGGTTTTTTGACACCGGAAACACACATAGTTTGTAGAGACGCACACACGTGTGCGCATTGGGAGCGAAACGGCTGCGCAGTGGTGCTAACCGTCTTGATCAAGCACCAAATAAGAATTGAGAAACGCGATAAAAAACTGAGAAACAGTCGGGCGGAAATTCAAAATCTTTTTGAACTGAACTAACAGCGAGGTTGGCGCTGCCTAATGTTAATGTTAACACACAAGTGCTGTGCATGCAACCGTTGCGATCCAACATCGAACCAACTGATCAGACTCGTTTGTTTTACAACAACTTTATTACTCTACCCGTTATTTAGCCTCAACCTGATTCTAAAATTTCAATGAAATAGAGCAATATAAAAATAGTCCGTAGAACTATTCTTTCCATTACTTGTTATAAGTATAAACTGAAAGAGAGAGATATAACGTTAACTCATTATGGCACTGCTCAGAGCAGCCAACAAGACTGATTCGAACCAGGCGCAACATCGAACATCTCCTTAGAGTGTTTGACAATACTGGCTGCCTGGCGTTAAATGTGATCATACCGAAATGTTAATTTTATTGATATAAATAATATAAGTAACATTATTATTTGTTTTTAGATACATACAGTATTTATATTTGGACCATATTGTCTCTCTTTTATGGTTCATTTGGAAAATCGTATTCTCACTTCTTAGATTGAAATATGTTCAGAAGTATTTTTGGCGGGCTTTTCTTGCCCTTGCAAGATGTTTGCCATCAGATCTACTAACTTAAGCCTGACTGATTCAAGTGGAATGAATTACTGTATAGACCTAGGGATTACCTGCCTTATCACGGGGCTCAGCATATACAAGTTAGTTTAATTATAAGACCATGAGTTGAAGTTTATTTCCATCAATGCGCTGGAAACTTTTCGATTTGCGTGGAATTCAAGTTAATTATAACTTAATATATGTGCTTAATTGCATTTAGTTATTTCGTTTTTGGTCACACTTAACTCTGACCTTTCAGTGGGAGCCGCCGGATGGCGCTAGAGCTGCAATTGAGCACGTGTCAAGGGTCAAAGTCCGAATTTTATATTTATATAATTTACGTCGATTTCTTATTGATTTGTTTTGAATATCTTGAAATGTGTGAAACACGCTTTGCTGCTGCACGGAGGTGTTAAGATCCTAAACTCACACACGCACACACACACACATACTCTCACACAGAGACAGAAATGCGAATCGATTTAAAGTTGGATGCATTTAACAGTATTTGTTTGTGGATTTGATTTGATTTGCAAACACTCTTCGATTGATTCAATTGACCGCTTTGAGGCACTGATTGTCTGTTAAAGATTTTTGTATAAGTTTTTTAGTTTTTCCTTTATATTGAATTCCCTTTTCCTGCTGAATCGCCTGTTTTGTTATTATGTTATGGTTAATTAAAAACGATTTCTTTTTTCGGATTTACCCACCCGGGTGGCAACATAAAGTTGAAGTTTATATATTTTTTTTTTGTATATATTGTTTTATATATTTTTTTATTTTTTTTTATGCCTCGAGAGACGAGCGAGCAGACGTCCAACAGGGCACGCGGCACACGATTAACTGTAACGGTAAAAATGAAAACAAGTTTGATATAAAGTACAAAAGTTAAGTTCCAAAGACAACAGAAACTCGCGTATGTTAAGCTTAACAGCAACATGTTAAAGAGCTGTTATTAAAATAAATACATATATCGCTCTCTCTTGGCTCCGCGAGCAAGTGAGAGCACTTTTTCCTTCTCCCTCTGTCCACCTCTCACTATACACTACACACTACACACGCTGTGCGTTTTATTTGTTGTCGCATTTCTATTTGTTTGACATTTGTTTTTTTGTTGATGTTGTTGCCCTAAACTATAGCCATCTCGTTTCGTCGCACACTCTGCGGTCGGCTAGTCATCTTGCTCACAGCACACATGTTGCGACCGCATGGTTTCTGTTTAAGTTCGATCTTTTGTTTGTGTGTCGACTCGCGCTAGGTTACTCTCTACATGCATGCGGACAGCAATGCGTGCTGTGCGCTGTGTATGCCTAAAAACAAGAAATACGCTGCATTGGTTTAACTCTAAGTTAAAGCATTTCGATTTTAGCAAAACTCGAGCTTCTGTGCAGAGCGCGGCTATCATGTATTGTAATTCATTTCACCCAACCAATTTTCGACATGTTCACTCAATTAATGAGCGCAGTCAGTCAGAGAATTTCGCTGCATCTTCGTCTTTGTACCCTAACCAACAAACAAACGCAAACTAATTCAGGTTTGGCTTGGAGCGTTTCTGGTGGTGGGAAAGGCATCCAAACAGTCGCAAATTGTCTTCCTCACCCAACTGGACAATATTTAAAGACCCTAATTGATATACTTTTGGACAGCTTGAGAAATGATTTGTGCTACATTTGCAAGTACATACACATGTTTGCCTGAGCAATGCGTAAGCAACACACACACACACACATACACATAGATTTGGGCATATGAGCTTGCACGCATACATTTGTATTAGGTTTGCCAAATATCTCATGCGGAATATTTTTGCTTTAAGCATAAGCAAATACACGCGTGTATGTATGTATGTATGTTTGAAGAAGAAGAGTGGTAGGCTCTCACACTGTCATCGTCAACCGAAACTCACAAATTGTTGAGTTTGAGCAGCATATTGTTGCTGTAGCTGCTGCTGCTGCTGCTGCCATTGTGCCGCTGCCTTTTAGTTTCATGAGCAGGAGATCATTGTCAGGTCCGGTTCTCAATGTTTTTCTTCTTCTTATAACACATACACACACTTCGTACACTTCGTACCTACTATGCGTAAAAGTCTCCTGTAGTTTTTTAATTTCAATTTTTTTTGCTTGCCTCATTTCGTGGCCCCTTCTCAACTAAAGCCCTTTGCCCATTCCAGCCGGACCTGCTTCTGCGTCTGTGTCTCTTCCCCTCTCTCTTACTCTCACTCTCTCTCTCTGCCTCCGTCTCTCTCTTTCGTTCATTGCCCATGAGAATTTACCCTGCGGCAGCTAATTAAAATCGCAGCATTTAAGAGGAGGGATGCGTGAGGAGCTCTGAAATGTGCACGAAATATCATTCCTGATCCTTACGAGCAACAATTTGTTCTTCATTACGGCTTTTCCATATGGATTGATTCTGACAAAAGAAATCACATATTGTCTTTGTCTTCATATCTTTACATTTAAGCATAGGCTCAAGGCATTTACAAGTTGATAATTAAAGCTTCAATTATCTTCTATAATATGGGAATGCGCCGGAAAGCAATATATAATTCCCATACATGTAGCTAGAGTTATCGCTAAGTTCATTTAAATATGGTGTAGATGAATTAAGTCGGGAGTGCCTGACTACGAGATACCCTGCTGCGGCTCTGTTATATCAAGCATGCAACACGAGCAATCATAAATTATTATTTTTATTGAATAACTGTTGTTTAAGAATGTTAATCATAAATATGATTTATATTCTTTATTATAAGCTGAAGACATAGAGATGGGAGTGCCGGGTATAATGCGTGTGTTAAAGTGTATATAATGCGCAGAAGAAGGTGCCGCCGATCACACAAAATATATGTATTTTGAGGTATGCCGATCTAGACCTGTCCGTCCGTCTGTCTGTCTGTCTGTCCGCGTTAAACTCATAACCTATGAGAGCGAGAGAAATACCCAGCTTCACAGTTAGCACGCGTAGATGAAGTCTTTCTATGATCAAGCTTCTCTATTTGCTTAGTTACAAGGTAGAATGCAGGATATATACTAGTGGGGCATTCCCGACTAAAAGGTGATTAGATTCAAGCAAGCGAAAAAATTGAATATTGAAGTTTATCTCGAACATAAAGACGATATAGATAGGCAGGTAGAAGACTGTTGAGCTCCTCCGGAAAACACCAAATATTTCCTATCTTATCTAAAAAATTAGGCACATAAGGAAAAGCCAGAAGCAAAGTAATCAGAAATAATGGCTTAGATTCTGGTGAATTAAATGGAGGTATGTTACATAAAATATTATAAATATTTGTAAGAATTTCCTTGACAGGTGCGAAAACACTGCGACAAACAGGTGAAAAATGCATATAAAAGGCCTTCCTACGGCTGCAGCTAATTCAGTTATAGTTCTTGCATTTGATGTGCGAGTGAAAGTAACATGAACTTGAGCCTACAATTCCTGTGCCTGTTGAGCGTCGCGCTATGCGCCAGCGCGTTGGTCCATTTCACCAAAATGGGCAAGGGAGGTAAGGATATAACGGTACAAACTAGAGCAATGCAATCAGCTAACGAACGTCTCTTAGAGAACGGATGCGTGCCCAAAGGACAGACAGACGGAGGCGCAGCAAAGGAAATCAAAGTGGGTGAATTTGCGAAGGATCCCAAGTCGTGCGGAGTCAACGTGTGCCAGAATGCCGAAGGCGACGCTATGGTTCTTTAGTAAGCTGATCTCGAGTGGGCGCTCATCCAAGCTTAAATATAATCTTAAAATATAATCTCATACGAACAGCTGCCAGAAACCGGCCCCCTTTGAAATGTGTAATACCGATGGAGTGTCCACAGGAACACCGTTTCCTGAGTGCTGCTGGAAGTGCGTGGCATACACCAATTGCGAGGAAGTGGACGGATCCGGAGCTCCTGGTGGTGTAGATGGTCCAAGTGGAGATGAAGGTCCTGCCAATGGAGACGGAGGTGCTCCAGGTGGTGCTGAAGGCGGAGGTGGCGCAGACGGTGCTGGAGGTGCAGGCGCAGGGGGTGCTGGAGACGCAGGTGGAAACGGAGCTGGAGGCGCAGGTGTAAACGGAGCTGCAGGCGCAGGTGGAGACGTTGCTGCAGGCGGCGATGGAGCCGCAGGTGGTGCAGGTGGAGGTGCAGGTGAAGGTGGTGCAGGTGGCGCAGGTGGAGCCGCGGGTGAAGGTGGTGCTGCAGGCGCAGCTGAAGGCACAGCTGAAGGCGCAGCTGCAGGTGCTGCAGAAGGCGCAGCAGCAGGCGCAGCTGAAGGCACAGCTGAAGGCGCAGCTGCAGGCGCAGCAGAAGGCGCTGCTGCAGGCGCAGCTGAAGGCGCAGCTGAAGGCGCAGCAGAAGGCGCAGCTGGAAACGGAGATGCTCCACCTGGAGAGGCTGCAGAGGGCGTTGAAGGTAGAACCAAATCTAGGACTGCATCGCATGCAGGACGCAAACAAAACACTGCAGGCAGATGGAACAAGCAGAAAAAGGATAAGAAAACCGCAAAAAAGCTACAATAACGAGAAAATATTGAAACCGAAAGGAAACGGAGGCAGAATTAGTTTGTTTTCACGTTTTAGTAAAACAATTTAAGTGACAATGTAATCCCATCCACAGTTCCTTAGTCACTAAATGAAATAAATAAATATAATATACTAATAATATAAATATATATAATATAATGTAATTTATATATTTATTAATCTATATTATAATTGAATCTATATATTGATCTTTCTATATAATGATTGAACTCTATTATGATTGATCTATAATAAAATTGAATCTTACATTGATTGATCTATATATTAAATGGTCTATATTATGATGGATTTATATGATTGATCCTAATTATAATTGAAGTATATATTGATTGAGTTATTATGATCTATATTATGATCTATATTATTATTGATCTATATTATGATTGGTCAAAATATTGATTGAGTTTTGTATTGATTGATCTGAATGTTGATTAATCTGTTTTATGATTAATCTATATTATGATTAGTATATATTGATTGATAGATCTTTATCTGAATTATGACTGATCTATATTTTGATTGGTCAATATATTGATTAGTATATTTTGATTGAGTTTTGTATTGATTGATCTGAATGTTGATTAATCTGTTTTATGATTGATCTCTATTATGATTAGTGTATATTGATTAATAGATCTTTATTATATTTGAAATATATATTGATTGAGCTGTGTATGGATGGATCTATATATTGATTAATTTATATAACGATTGATCTATAGAATAATTGAAATATACATTGACTGATGAATATTTTGATTAACCAATATGTCGATTGGTCTTTATTATGCTTGATCTATATTATAACTGTATTATATATTGATTGATCTATAGTATGAATAATCATGTAATGATTGATCTATATATATTTCAAATATTGCTGACATTTACTTCCAGTCTTTGGAAAATATCTTTCAAAGAATATCGCAATGTAAAAATGTAGTAAGTCTATCGTTGCCACGCCCCCAATCTAAACACTATACAGACGAGTGTAAAAATGCGTACATCAAACTTTTCCAAGCCACAATATTTCAGAACTCTTTTAATTTTGTGAACGAGAGGAATAAGCTCGGGATCATCCCACACACCTGTATTACTTTAGCATCAATTAATTGTTAAATAAAAAAAAAATAATAATTAATAAAATCAAATTCAATTTTTTACACATTCTGTTTCAAATTGTTTTATTAAGTTGCTCAAACAGAGAAATGCGGTTCTCGAACTGCGATTAGCCTCTCGCCGTTTTGTTCCTTTTTGATTTTGACTTTGGCACTTTTAATGTTTAGGCTTGCAAATAATTCATTTTCTTTTTGATCACTTTTACTGGACTTTCTTCGGCGTCTAATTTTGTGTATTTGCTTGCGTCGTCAGCCTCTGCGGGTGCCGCAGTGGCTTGGTCGGCGGCGGCTCTGCCGACAGTTGATATCGGTTTTGGGTCGCAGCTGATGTAAGTAACGCACTTCCAGCAGCACTCTGGGAACGGCGTCACTGTGGACACACCATCGAAACTGCACATCTCGAAGGGCACAGGCCTCTGGCTATTTGTGTAAGATCACAGTAGAATTGTGTGAAGAGCGTCTGCTTTGACAGAGACTTACTAATGAATCAAGGCGTCGCCCTCAGTGTTCTGGCACACATAGATGCCGCAGGTGTTTTCATCTTTCAAAATGCCACCCACTTTTATTTCAGCAGGTTCATCATACAGCTTGCCCGACGGTTTGGTCCGGCATCCGTTTTCTAAAAGACATTCATCAATTGAGATATTGCTGTGAATTGCAGTTTTATATCCTTACTTCCTTTGTCCATTTTTTGGTAATGGACCAACGCACTGGCGCACAGCACGCAGCTTAGCAGGCTCCAAAATCTTAGGCCCAAATAGTTCATCTTCTCTTTTTGTGAATGCACCAAATATAACTGCATTTTCGCTGGCAATTGGAGGGCCTTTTATATGCTTTGTCGGTGGACAGATCGAACACAGGTGTTATGACACCTGGCGAAAATGGTTGCAAAAACTGAAGATGATCTATTGTTTTTATATATCTGAATTCAATACGCGCTTGTTCATAGACTCCATTTGAGCCGAGTCAATTCTTTCAGTTCCCATCGCTCGGGACGATTCACTAGAAAATTGTTGAAGAAAATGAAAATTCCTGTGCTGTGTCTAGTGATATGTCTATAGGAAAGATCAACAGTGTATATACATAGCTTGAGGATTATAGTTTTATATTTTAATTTCGCTAGTAATACTCTTGGCATCTGACATATAGTTGCATTCTGTATAGAGATCTTTCTTAAGGAAAGGTCCTTATGAAGGAGATTAACTTTTTCCTGCAGCCTATCGTCCGCTCGACTAACTGCGCGAACATGTGCATTGCCATTGGCTGCAAAGGCCAAGATATAGTTCTCTTTCCAGTTATAGAACAGGTGTTCCAAAGATTCCAGCAATATATCTGTATATATATATATATATGATTCATAAGCTGGCAACAATTAAATTGAATAGGGGCAATTTAGATGCCAGGAATTGATATGAGCACTTAGAACTTGAAACCATTTTTCATTTCTTGCTATGAAATACATATATACAAATATACAAAAAAGCATTTGGGACTGTGTATGGCTAGTGGGTATTGCGTGGGCATTGATTTCGCCTCTTTCGATAGCTGTTTGAGGCCTTTTGCTTGGCCTCGACGGCGGCACAGGCTGCCCGATAGGCCGCCTGCTTGGTCCTTTCGTAGTCTTCGCGAGCGGCTTCGAGTTGCTTTTCGATCGAGGCCGAACGATTTTTGGCTGCCTCGAGCAGCTGCACCTTGCTGGTCATCTCCTGCTGGGAGCCGAGCGCCACTGTCTGTATATTGGCCAAATTGTCTTTGACCGTCTTGTGCAGCGCTGTGAGTGCCTCAAATTGATGTGTGGCAACTCGAGCTGCCTCCAGGGCGGCATTCATATTGGCTTCAGTGCTCTGCAGCGAGGCGGACTCCTCTTCAACAACGGCATGGGCCTCCTGCATTTCCTGCTCCAGCTGCTGCACAACTATTTGCTTGCCGGCGAGCGCCGCCTCGGCTGCCTTGGCTGATTGGAAGGCCTTCTCGGCCAGCTGCTGCTTGATGTGCTGGGCAGCCATTTGGCCGGCAGCCTGTTGCGCCTCGTTGGCAGCCTTCGCATCCTGAGCTGCCTTCACTGCTATGCTCGAACTCTTTTGCTTGGGATCTCCGGGCTCGAATATTTTCTTGACATCACAACCCTGAGGGATCTCGTCGGGCTGTTTTTGCGTGGCTCCTCCAGCCCCATCTCCAGCGTCACTTCCATCTCCACATTCACTGGTGTCAGTGGCGTCTGTTGCCGGGCTAAAAGCGGGGATTTGGCTTTTCACTGCGCCGTCGATAGCCGCAAAGTCGGAATAGAGATTTGGCGGCCACGCCAGAGGCTTGGGATGATGCCGCTGTGAATGAAGCAATCTTTTGCCAGACTGCCACAGGCAAATGGAATAGACTTACCTTAACGAGTCGGTAGCCAATGGAGTTCATGTTGGGGTACAGCACAGACATTGCGAGCAGTAGCCAAAGGCATGAACTTCGTATTCGCATGGAGTCAGTTGTGGCAAGCTTCGCATTGCACTGTCCAACTGGGCGAAGTACTATGCTTAGATGTCTGCCAGTTGCTTGACGTGCTAGGCATGTGCTCAAAACTGCTTTGATTTGGAAGTCGACTTGTCCGACTCCCGAACCATCAAAGAAACCGATCCTTGCCCAACAAATTTCATTCTTATTAAAGCTAGGGATGTGAAGCTACGTTTGGCTCTGAATTCGATTGACAACTTCGCCGTGGAGAACTGCCTGTGTTTTTGCTTTTGCTTATGACTAGACAGAAATAAACTTAGCAATCGATCCGAAGACTGAGGAAGATGGCTGGTGCCCAGTGACACAAACAATGTTTTGTTTATGAATTTGTACACAAAACGGGGCTTCATGCCGCCCGCTCGTAGCCGAGCCATGGGCTATAAAAGCCAACCGGAGTGGATTGGCCACAGTTAGAAGCACTGGAGCCAACGGATTATCGATATGAAATACATTTGCGGTATGGGCATGGTCCTGTTCGGACTGGCCATGTGTGTCAGCGCCTTGGTTCACATGGTGCGCATGGAGAAGGACGGTAAGGCGGCTAGAAAGCTGGAAAAAGGTTGCCAAACTCCGCTCGGCCACATCCGTCCTGGCGAAGAGATAAATGATGAGAAGACATGCGGCATATTCGTCTGCCAGGATGACGAAGGTAATGGCCTTTACCAATTGTAAGTTTTGCCGGATCTCTTATAGCATTCCCTTCCCCGACTCTGTGTCTCTCTCCGCCTCTCTCTCTCTCTTTCTCTCTCTCTACCTCTCTGCAGCTGTCAATCACCTGTGAACTTTGCCAATTGCGAATATGATCTGGTCAATACAAAAGGTAAATTTCCCGATTGTTGCTGGCAGTGCGTCAAGGGCATCAAGTGTCCCGTAACATAATCAAATCAAAGAAGATCTACTGGAGTTATATATATATATATATATATATATATATATATATGATATGGGTGGATCATAGACTGAATCGATCTTATAATGTGCACTTCGTCTTCCACTTCGACTTAAACTGTATTTATTTCCCATCAGAATTTGGTGTATCTTTAGTTAGTTTCTAATCAAGTGTAGAACAGATCTTAGCCTGGCTAAGATCATTTAAAGTTGTCTATGTGTGTGTGTGTGTGTGTGTGTGTGCAGCACCTCAACATTCCATTTGCGTCTCATTTGTTGTCTGGTCTCTGGCCGTCTGTCCATGTGTCTGGCTGTGCGCGTATCTTTGTATCTCATAGATACACACAGCGCATTCTAAAGTGTCTACAAGTGATGAGCACGGCATTTAGTTGCAATTTTCAGTTTCACTTGGCGACGACGCGACGTCGACGCCGCTTGTGAAAAACAAAGTAAGAGACTGGCATAGACGAATAAAAATAAAAATAAATGAAATGCAAACGGGCAAAAACAAAGGCGTCCATATAGACATGAATTGCTATAAAAATGTGAGCTATGCTAAATGCAAATGCTAAAGGCGAGCAAAAACCAAAAACCAACAAAACCAAAAAAAAAACACACACAGCTAAAAGAAAACAAAAAACTAAAATCTATGGCTGTACCAACAAAGCTGCTCGACAAACTGACACAAAGTAGAAATGGGCAGTCAAATAGATAGATATATATATAGATATATATGTATATAGGAAGAGCAGCAGAATCTAATAAGTTTAACATATAGTAAACAAATTATATAAGCTCTAAGCTGGTCATTAAAATACCAAATATAATAGCTGCAAGCCTAAACAACCTCTAAAATATTTTTAATATTATTTATTTATACGAAACTGTAGAACATATTTTAGTTACCAAATTATATTCAAATTTTATAATAACTTCATTGATATATCTAAATGAATAAGACCCAATTGAATATAAAATTCTTGTAAAACAAAGTTCTAAAAATGTTGTTTTGTTTTTATTTCGATAAGAGACAGATGAACTCACCAACCCTATAAAAACTTACTGAAAATGAATTTAAGTATTATATTTAAAATATTTGAAGCTATATTCAATTCTATAAAAAAGTATTTCTAATAAGCAAAAAAATAATATTATAAATAAAGAAAAATATTTAATAATGTTTTTGATAAACATTCAACATAATTCTGCCTATATAAAAAATATTTTAAAAAATTATTTTTGTTGAAAAGTTATAAAAAAAACATATATAAAATTTATTTTGTAATTCATTTATAACATTTACAACTATAATTGACTTTGAAGCAATTTATAAATATTCATTTCAGATATGTAAATTGCTAACTTGAAAATATTTATGTAAAATTTAATTAATATATAATTAAAATATAATTAAAATCTAGTAACCCAGCCATTTAGACTACCCAAAAGCGTTTCGAAACGTCGACTAGACCAGAGTGAGGCCAAAGTGGTCGGAGCTACTTTAACATATTCAGCTCTAACAATATTCCAATTTGAAATTAACATTAATAATTATTATGTGTAGTCAAAATAAATGCTGTTATATATATGTACATATGTGTACATATATATATATATATATATATATATATGTGTCTATGGACTTGCGTCTACTGCGAGGCACATTTAATCTTTGAGTTGGCTCAATAGTGTTCGGCGCTTGGGTTAATAGTTCAGAATGCGATTCGATTATTCGGGCGATCTGAAAAACTGAGCCAAGACATGCGCTGACAGCATGAACAAAGTCTGAACAGCAGTGGAGGTCAAAGGTCGAACATCGCCTTGATAAGGCACACGGGGTAATTACAAGCTCGCAGTCGTAACTTAGCCATTGCATGTCAAACTGTGTCAGATGGCATATTAAAAACAAAATCTTTTTAAAAAAACACTCTCGTTCTCGTTGTTGTAGTTGTTGTCGCTGTGCGAAGCGGCGTTGCATTGAATAATCAGCTTGATAACCCCGCGTGGCTGCCGCTGTGGTTGCGCACTGTGGTTTCGTATGGCAATGGGTACTATGTTCTGCTTTGACCACCGAAGCGAACTAAAACCCAATTGAAACTGACGTTAAAAAACTCAAAACTGATAATCTGTCATATATAACATACATATATGTACATATGTATGTATATATATGTGTGGACATTTGGAGGCAGTCACAAATATTTATTTTTAATGCCCTATTAAAATAGAACTCACCAAATGCGATTGCGTCCAACGATGAATAAACAAATACAAAATTAAGTTTGCTTATCACCTATGAATGTGTGTGTGAACACGCACACACACACACACAGAGCCTGGATTGATAAGGCAGCAGTGACAGCTTATGCATGTGTCAGAGTTCAAAGCTGAGACACTTAAGAGCCGAGCATTACGTATATAAAATGGAATACTTAGACAGCTCTAGACGAGCATTTAACGCATATTAAGTATCAGTCGCCGCTTATCAGCAGGTCAGAGTCAGCTCTGAGGGCTCAGCTCGAAATGGAGCAACGTTGCCCAATGACGACTGCTGCACAGCATTCCTAAGAATGTGATTATAAGCATCAGGGAATTTTATTATGAAAAAAGAAAATCATTTCAATGTTCTTAAGTAATTTTATAGCCCTGTTAACTGATATGGACTAAAATGTAAAAATCATAAAAAAAAACAATTAAATATTTGAAATTAAATTTACTATTTATAGTTTTAAATAATTTGTATTGTATTAACTAACTAACTTACTAACTAACCTGCAGTCAAAGCTGCTTCGTGTTGCTGTTGTCTTCCTTCAAGATTGAGCACATTCTATAAAAGAAATATATAAAATTGTATATAAAATAATATATAATAATTAAATATGTTAAATATATAAATTTTCTTTAAAAATATCAATTTTAATATTAAAAACTCCATATATTTATATATATAAATTCCATATATTTAAATAAAAATAAATCCATATATTTATATACATGTATATATATTTTTTTAAATTTATATATTTGCCTTTAAAGCTTGTATTATTTCTCAAAATTCTTAAATTCATTATTTTTAAATTATGTTATGCTTGTCCTTTGCTGGAGAACAGAAATAAACTTAAATAATTTGTTTGTTAATTAAAGCTAAAAATATGTAAAGAAATTAATTTAGTATGATCTGTTTAAAAATTATAATTGATAAGAAATGCATGAACTAAGGGAAAATAATATGATTATGCTATAAGAATGAAAAAAAAAATGTTGTGGATAGACAAACTGAATATAGCCATTAGAATGGATATATATTTAGTACGGAAATGTCTATCTCTATATTCTAACTTAAAGCTTCTTAAGCAGCTTAGGGATGTTATAAAACTAAGTTCCCAAATGGATCATCCCAGGCAGAAGCTGTTGAAGTCCTGGATGTATACTCGTAGATTGTCTAAAGAATTATATTTGAACTTGACAGATTTAACTAAAAAGCTCAAGCATCGTTTCTAGTTGGGCTAAGATGACGTTCAATCAGACCAGAGCTTCTATTGCAACAGGTTGCTCTTAGTCGCTTGGCAATCGGAAATCCAGTTATGCAGCTACAGCTTCAATGATTCCAGGGCAACAGCAACAAAAATCGAGGCAAGTATTTGACGCCATTGCGGCTATCAATGCAATTGAATTCTGGTAACGGGCAACTGACAGCCAACAGCAATCAACCAGGTTGAGAAAGAAAGAGAGAGAGAGAGGGAAATGCTCGTACGTCTATAAGTTTATTGATAGGTAAAAACATATATAACAGAACAAGTAAAACAACTTGCTGAATGTTTTGATACTAGTGCCGAGATCTGTTGAACTCATTTTAATTACAAGTAATCTTTATAAATAGAAAACATGACGAAGACACCCAAGAACGTCAAAGCAGAGACCGTGGAGGCACCGATTTATGCATGAATGCGGTGGACAACGGCCAAGGCATAGGCATAAATCAATGATGAGCAAGGCTCCAGCATCCTAAGGGCGGGACGGGGCGGGGCGGTGCTGTGCGGCGGTTCGGTTCGAGTCTTAACCAGACACAAACCAAACGTAGGAGCCAAATGCGAAATATGAACCGGCAATGGCCATAAATGAGTAATTGCTGACATTGCCGTTGCGATTGCCATTGCCGGACCTCTCCAAGTCTCCTCGCTCTCTCGCTGTTGGCATTCTGGTCTGGAGTCCGGTTCCATTTTTAGCGGAGACAACAACCCATAAATGTGCGCCCAACGACAAAACGTTAAATGCAAACTGGCCAGGCTAAGCATCAGCTATACTTAGTGGCCATGCTGGGGCTTGGCTCGGCTCCGCTTGGCATTCAATTACAAGTACAGCCCCCATGCCGACTGGACTTCTGTTGAAAAATGCTTGGTGTCGTCGTGGTCGTGAGCGGTGTTGTGTTGGTGTCTTGGATACTTGGAGTATTGGGCTTGGGCTTGGCTTTTTGGTCTTGAGCCGCGCAGCCGGCTTCCAAGTAATGTCTCTCTAACGGTATGCCATGATACTTGTTTGTATCTCTATATCTCCATCTTCTACTTCCACTGCAACTCCGACTGCGACTCTGACTCCAACTTTGTCTGTTATTTTTTTGTATTTGAATCTGGCGTTGCGATGCGCGCGCCTCATGTTGACAAACTCACTTAACAAATCCACAACTACTTATATAACCCGAAGTACAACAAACAGTAATTTTTCTCGCTTCATTGGCATCGTCTGCCGACTGCCGTCTGCCGTCTGTCGACTGCCGGGAAGAAGCCTGTAAAGCGAGCATAAGCATATCGGCGGTTTGTTTAGCCAACTTGTCTCAGCCCGGACAGGGGCAAACGTGTCTGTGCGGCTAAGTGTGCAAGTGGGGGGCGGGGCAGACAGAGGCAACTTAAGACTTGGCTGCTGCCAGTTAAGTAAATAGAAATTGAATTGTACAAAGGCCACAGACGCAGACACAGATACAACAGCAGCAGCAGCAGCAGCAGCAGCAGCTACTCGGCGTTGTAGCTGACCGTTGTTTGCCTTGCTCTACAGTTCTTTATAGCCTGGGCGCGGCTGCTGCCATATAGTCGACTCGTAATGCTGCAGCTATACCAAATTGTATAAAAAAATATCATGAACTTAAACGATTTTCATAACATTCAATGTGACAGACCAAGAAGACACTTCAAACAATTTGAAATATTTTTATTGTTCACTGATTTTGTTATTGAAATTTTTTCTTTATATTGTTAACTGAAGCTAGATTGAATGATACAAGGGAACAGCTGAGCTTGAATCTAAAGTCAATTAAGAAAATGATTTGGTCAAAGAAAGTTTAAATGAATATTTATTATTAATGTGAGGATATATTTATACATATCTAAATTTCTGTTTATTTATATATACATATTATATACATATTTCCTATTTGCAAGCCTATTTGATAATAAATAAATTCTATTACAAATAGTTAAAGCAAATGCGGTTAACCAAGACAGCGTAAAACTTTTAGTAAGGGGATACTGGTTCGCATCGTAAACCAGGAAACATATAATTTATAATTATTTTTTAATATGAGTTAAATATGAGTTAGCTTTGAAAATAAGCTTTTATATATATATATTATTTTTATAAAATGCTTGATAATTTTTCTAGATTTTATAAAGAAAAAAATCTGAAATAAAGCATTCTTTTATATATTCTTTGTAAAATATTTTCCAAATAAGATAGTTGCATATAACTGTTTTCTCTACATATTCCAAGAGGTGTGGAATATATATATATATATATGCTGAAATATATATATATATATATATATTTTTATATATGCTACATATATTTATTTAGATTTATTTTGAATCACAAGAAAGAAAAATAAAAGCAAGAAATTTCTTCTCTTTTGCTTTTGTTTAATTTGCTCTGCTCCTGCGGCTGCTGCTTGTGGTTGAGTGAAAGATAGAAAATTATATGCAAGCTGCGTCACTTATGCTAGACGCGACAATAATATTTCTATGGCAGAAACTTCACACTTAATGTAATTTGCAACAAGAAGCAAAAAACAAATCGAGAAAACCTCCAAAGTAGTTGCACATGTTGCCAGAGACGGCCCAAATTTACTTGTGGCCGAGCAGAGCGGCGGCAGAGAAGCATCAGACGGCGACGGCAACGGCAGCGGCTGCGGCTGCGGCAGCGAAAGCGACAGCGACTAGTCAATGCTTTAAGGAATATGGCAGCAAATAATTAAAACATATTTAAAAATAGTTTGCCATATGGATGACGACGACGTGGCCCGGCTGGGTAATGGTTGATGGTTGATGGGTGATGTTGCTGTTGCTGTTGCTGTTGCTGTTGCTGTTGCTGTTGCTGTTGCCGTTGCTGGTCAGCCCCCAAGAACAACAAAAGCCAACAATTTTTTGTCTGGCCAAAATGCGACGGCGACTTCACCAGACACACTAAATGCATAAACAGATACAGATACATAGCTACGTAGCTAGATAGAAATGCAATTGCAGCCAGTTGCTGTGCGTCTGGCGGCTGAGTTTCAACAGGCATCCATCTAAGCTATCTATCTGTAACAACACTTCATTACAGCTTGTCCTCTCGGGATCTGTCTGCTGCCAAGTTCAAAATTATATGCCTTGCACTTTACTTTATTCATGTCAAAAACGAAAAAGGAACAACAAATTCATATTCGAAAAAAACTTATTGGATTCTCTTTTTTTTTTTCTTTTTGTTTTTTGTTTTTTTTTTTACTTATTTCGTGTGCCAAAAATACACGGTATGTGGCTGAAAAACTGCGCCAGCTAGGCGCTAATGTTGTTGCTTTGCTTTTTTTCTCATCTCTTGCTTAGTAAAAGTGCCTAAAAAGTATCTGCATCTGTAGCTGTAGCTGTATCTGTATCTGCGCTAGTTGGTGCGAATTTATTTTCGTCATTTTTATTTAATTTCGCTTTGCCTCTTTTTTTATACTTTTATTTTTTCCCCTCTATACTTACGTGGCTGAGCGCGTGCGAGTATTTTACAAATGAAAATTGTAATATTTTCGACAGCAAACAAATTTGAAATGTCTCTGAAACGTTTGTTGGATCATTTTTATTTGCCTTTGTTTTCGTTTTATTTTACTTTTGCTGTTGCTAAATCCCAGCAGACGTTGAAAATTGCAACTTTGTATTGAAGATACAAATTTATACGAGCTGCTGTGAAGCCAATTTGCCTGTTAACTTGGCTTTTACATGTCTGATATGTGAGCCTATTTGAAACTGCAGAATCAAATTCGGAAAGCATTTGCAAGCTAATTGAAAGTTCTGATCGGTTCGGTTCGGCGCACAAACTGGTTTGGCTACGAACCGGTTAGAAACAATTCTTTGTTAATTGAATCGAGTTTCTAGAGTCTTGTAGTCGCTCCTTAAATACTATCAATCAGCTGTTACGCTTCCATAGACTCTCCGCCCTGCATAATTCATAAGGCCACAGATGTCATCCCGCTCAGCCAGCCAGCCAGCCAGCCAGCTTCTTGGCGCCAATTTCGCTCAGATCGCGCAATCTGATTACAAATCGAACACTGTGTAATTGTTATGGCAAATAAATAGCTTGGCGCACTATTACAAATCGCTGTGATTAGCAATTAAAATTGCAAAACAAAGCCTCGCCGGCCTCTGCAATTTATGTGACTCGCTTTGCTTGGTTCCTGAGGCCAGGTAAATCTCTTAATTACGCGCCAGAGACACGGGCACAGGCAAACAGGTGTGCACTTATTAACTCATTATAAATACATTTCAGTGCAGTTCGATTTGCTTTTAGCTTACTGAAAAGCATTTCAATTGCCACGACTCTCGCACATTTTCGTATGCGTGCCAGTGCTGCAGCTGGTCCACCCAGATTAGGGTGACTCAAGCTAAACTGCTAATTACAGCAAATGATTAACTAGCTAAGCTGGCCTTATGCCTTTTCGTTCGTATTTCAATTGTAAGCTTCGCTTGGACAGCTATTCAGATATATAAACATATATATATTATATAATATACATATTGTAATCTGGGCAATATTTTTGTACTACTCTTGAGACGCCCTAATGCAAATATTTACAGCCTGATCTTGTGCAGTGCTTGCAAATGCAAATTCAATTTGTTAAATGCTTTTTGCTGGCAAATCTCGGAACTTGTTTTGCATGAGTATGCAATTAACGCTGTCCGTCGCATATTCATCCATCATAATTTTATTTAGTTAATTAATATTTCAGCGTACTCGTATTTACAAGCTGTCTAACTGACTAGCTGTGTGTGTCGTGTAGAAGATGCCATTAAGATAAGAGTAGAGAATCTAGCGAATCTTAGACAGGACTGGATTAGGCTCTCCCTCCCCGTGTGACTTCTACGCTTGTATTATTGAAGTTCTTAAAAGTTAGATTCCGCGCTAACTGAGCTGCAACTTCCGCAAAGTAATATATAAAAATGTTTCTTATGCTTGCATAAAATAAATCGACATTCCTACGCTCGCAATCCAAATTTTCCCACCACATTCGCAGACAAGCAAAAAATATAATCAAATAAAAGTATCGGGCACACCACAGTGACCATCAAGCGACGGCAGTCGGTTATATGATCCATTTATCATATATATATATATATATATATATATATATATATACATATATGAGTTGTAAGAAAAAAAGTGCTGGGATCAGCTGGCTCTGCCTAGAATTACTGAATGAATGAGTGAGTGTTGTGTGTGAGCTCGCAGGCAACTTGATCTGATATTTTTGAGTTTAATTCCTTCACTTGAAAGTTGTCCATTGTGCACCAATTGAGTCATCGCCAGATTAGCTCGCGAGTCCATGCCGAGCGCCAGTTGAAGTCGCTCTCCATCAACAACTTTTCGGCTTGGCGATAATAAATAACAAAAGCTTTGAGGCACGGCTATTGGATATGCTGCGGATCGGTCGCGACTCAAACGGATATACAATATGAGCGCACAGAGCCAGTAATTCTCTTCTCTTTTTCTTTTTTTATTGTAATGCTAATGTTTCTCATAATACAAGTGCCAACGATATCTTGTGGCGAAGCAGAACTTGAACTTGCAATCCACAAACTGCAAAACGCATTTATCAGCGCTTTATTTAAGAAACAAAAATAAAATATTTTAACTGAACATCAAATTCAAGTCAAATGCTCCTCTACTCGTTCGTGAATAGCAAAAGAGTATATTGGTTGAGATGATGTAAACAGTGAAGCTTCATAAAAGAGGGATATAGAGAGATAGTGAGAGATAGAGGGAGAAACTGAGAGAGATGGAGATAGAGAGACAGAGCGAGATAGAGAGAGACAGCTAGAGATAAAGATAGAGAGTTCAGTATTGCTGATGATAATGAGAGATAGATAGATAGATAGAGAGAGACACAACTAAACAATGAGAGTAAAAAAAAAGAGAGAGCAGGAGAGAAGGAGAGCCAGCTACACCAGCCTGAGGGCGTCTCAACTTAGGAGTATATCTAAGACTTTAAGTAGTAAACTTATCAAATTTTTATTAAAGAATCTTGAAGCCTAACAACAGATGCCCATGACATTTCCCGCAGCGACTTCAGATAAAGTATTTCAACTCAAGCAGAGAATTTAGTGAATAAATCTCACTTAATATAAAAAATACAATAAAAACGTTTCAGTGTCGCAATAGTTTCTTTATGATTTCAAAATTCCTTTACTGCTTAGGACGTATCATCATCTTAACTGACTTCAAGCTATAATACAGGCCGTGCCAGCGAGCCCAGGCAATGCCGCGACCATATTGATCGACACTCACATCGCCGCCCAGGTACAGGCCATTCAGATTACTTAGGGAAAGCAAAAGAATATATAAGAATAATATAACTAAATAACAACTATTTGACCGTCTACCCACCTACTGTGGCAATCGTTATACCACCAGGCGCCAGTGTACTGAACAGCACAATTGGATTTATTGAGTTTGTCATTGTCCCAGTCGTAGGTGCTGAACTTCATGCCGAGATGGATGCTGAGACTGTCTTCAGCAGTGCCGGAGAAGCTGCCCAAGCTGTTTAGGCCATATAAATTGGCACTATTGCCTATGGCAAATGAACTATATCTGGCATAGCGTGTCTGGCCCATGAAGTCTTCCATATGTATGTAGAGCTCTTGGGGCTGTGCCACAGTCAGCGCATTCAGCTTATCCAGTCCGATGAAGAAGCTATTTTGCAGATCACCAAAGCCTTGCTGATAGGACTTCCAGTCCCTATAGAAGTTGATGTTGACGTCGACGCGTCGCTGGATAACCAGCCAAGGGGAGCCAGTCACGCTCACATCGCAATACACGGACATAACTTCTCCGCCTTTGATTTGAATCTTATAGATGCCATTTTTCTTAGCCTTAGCAGTTGTACAGGAGTCTGGATACTTCTTAAAGAGTTTCGCATCTGAATTCAATTCGGCAAGTGCCAATGCCAGCCCGAACACGGACAAGAGAATGTAAAGTGACGCTCGCATTGCTAAACTAATAATTTGACTACAAAGCGTTGGTCGAACTTGTCAGTTTTATAGAACACGGCAAAACACAAAAGACACACCTTACTCATTCAGTGATAAGATTAGATAGTTATATTGAAGGATTTGTTAATAGTTGCTAATTGTCTTAGATAATTTCGGTTATTTTTAGTAAAAAATCGATCACGTTTGAGCTAGTTACAATGCACTGCGAGAAACTTTGGGCAAGTTTGAGACATTGAATAAAGAACTTTGCCAATTGCCCAGACTGTTAAATAAAATGTGAACAGCTTGTCTGTGCTCTCCTAAGAGCTATACAATACACGAAAAAGCCTGAGGTCTGTAAAATGTATAAAGCTGTAATATAGAAAGGTCACAAAAATATTAAATACATTTTTTAAATTTAGCATAGCTTCAAGCCTAAGTCTGTCCTTTAAGGCAGATGATTTTTTTTAAATTTCTTTGAATCTCCAACATATGCAAATGTGTGTTTTTTTTTTAATTTAAGCAAGTGGGGTACTTAAAGGTATAAAATAATGGGAGAATTCATTACAAGAGTGTGCATAGCCAATTTGTTGCTTGTGGCTCTTATAGTCTTTGAGTTATGTTCAAAAAACCTTACATCAAAATGAATTTCTATCATTATTGAGCAAGTAGTTATGGCTAAGCACTAAAAAGCTTATTCTATATATCTATATATATATTCATCATGTTAAGTTTCATGTTAATTCATAAGTATTGCAGTTGAATTACTGATTACCAATTCAACTTCATTTATTGCTGATCAACTAACTTTATTATCTAATGCAAACAACAGTTATACAGTAATCCTGTTATAAATTAAGTTATCTAATCATCGAATGTATAAAGTGCCCTTTTTAAGTTCATCTATTAACTGTTATTGACTGCTTTATGTTACACTTCCAGTCAAAATCACCTAAGTCTGAAGACCTGCACAGAGAAATATACGTATATTTCATATATAGATATATTCTTGACCAGAATGAAGATTCGATTCGGTCTAGCCAAACTACGGGGCATTCATTACATTCAATAATGTGAATGCGTCAGGGTATTATCTAGTCATGTACTCTCGAGTAGAGCACTGCGATATATTTCAAAATAAATCAAATATAAATAGAGTGTTAAGATCTAGCGCATTACAGAGAAATAGTGAAGTAATTTTGCCTGGAAGTATACCCCACGCTAACCTATATATATATATATATATATATATATATATATATATCGAATTTTATATGTAAAATTTAAATTTTAGAACATATTCAACAGAATATTGAAGGAAAGTATCTGGCCGTGCTATGCCGTCCTTCTCTTTCATTTCCTGTCGAGCATTTGAGCTGTCAGTTTCGGATGGATTGGGGCAAATGCGAGGCGGCTTAATACCTTCACTTTGACAACTTAAATAATGCGTCTTTTGTTCTAGTTGCCGTCGGCCAGGGCAGACAGAAGTTGCCACCGAATATGATAAAGACGCTGACAACACAAATGAGAGCCGAGAGCCGAGGAGCGAGCCACCTACAAAGTGCATACAAATACTCGAACAGGCGACAAACAAACAAACAAACAAATGAACAAATATTTGCCTCAACGGGAGGAGCAGGCCAAACTGAAGGCGATAAAATGGTATTTATGATAAATACATAATACAATGAGTACACAGCCAGGCAGAGAGAGAGGGAGAGTGGGAGAGAGAGAGATATATGTCTGTACGCGTGTTTGGGTATTTTTTAAATAGGCCACAGACGTATTGTCTACGGCATTTGACAGAGTCTAGAGTATGTAATATATAATATATATGTGAATGTATAGAGTGCAGAAGTGGAGAATAAACGTTCAAGTGTCAAACTGACAGCTTTGAAATTGATTACGGCCAGCGACAATAGTTTTCTGTGTAAATAAGGCTGCAGTGGCTTTAAAGTGACATTTTATATAGGCAATCATATATATACGAGTATATATGTAATTGATATAGAGGCACACGTGGTAAACTGCATTTATCCATGTCGAGCTATAGCAAATAATATAAACACTTTCAGCCAACATATGGTCATAGAGTATCAGCATCAACAATAAACAATGCCTGCTTCGAATAGCAAGTTGTTTACGATTATTGTTAGAATCTAGATTGCTTTTCTTTGATATATTAACATTGGTGTATTGGCTTACAAACAACAGTAAATATAAATAATATTTAGTTTCTTTTGTTTTTAAACAAGTTATTCGAGGGTTAAAAAGCTGAAACTTCTAAGAATCTATAAAAACTTGAGTTAACTCAAATTAATTGGAATATACGCTTCAAAGAAGCCTTTGTGTCTTAGCTATTAATGAAAAAATAAATAGAATTTATATAAGTTTCCTTAAAGATGATTTAGTCAATAGACATAGAAGAGAAAGAGTGCCAAATTGCATTGAATTTTCTTGTGGAAAATTAAAGCGAATAAATTAAATTGCATTAAAAAATAAAATTAATTTATTATTATATATATCATTATATTTTATATTATATATATATAATTATATTCATTATAATATAGACCTTCTTCTATTTTACCCTAAAATCAAAAGCAAAAACCGCTTTCAATTAGCAGAGAATTATGCCTTGGTTTCTTTATTGGCATGTCGAAGTGACGCCCTGCAAATTTTATGATAAAATCCTAATTGAAACAGCAGCAGCTTGTCTACTAGTCGAACACTCAGTTCTTAATTGTAAACATGCATTAAATTTAGTTACTATTTTCATTTGAGTTAAGGTAATAGTATTTGTTGTCAAATTGAAAATTTGATTACATATTTGTTTACATTGAATTGAGTTGATTTCTATATCATTTGTTGATTTACATCCAATTGCCTTAAATATCATTTGTTTACTTTCAGCTAAGCTGCGCTCGCAGCTTAAACGTTTTGAATAACAACGCCGATACACAGCCCTAGCCCATTTTATGCATAGAGAATCGATCCCCTTAGATGAGGCCTAATGAAACAAGGCATTAGGGAAAATACATTAAGATCAATTAGTTATGTTAAAGAAGGGCAGAAAACATGTTATTTGAGTGTTTTTTTTTTAATTTTTAATATTTGTTTTAAAATTGTGTGAGTCGCTTTTCAATCAGAAAACATTTAAAAAAAAATATAATAAAAAGATTAAAATAATAAAGATAAGAATTTAAGAAGAGCTGCTGAAGCTGAAATGACTTCGAAGCTGTTAGAGAAGAAAGAGAGAGTGAGTTAGAGAGAGAAGGCTAAAAGCAGAGTCTTGGCTATGGAAAGCTTTGACATGTTCCCAGCCTAGTCAGTGCAAGCAGTCATAGATCTGTTGAGTTTAACAATAACCTGGTCAGAATCATATTTTTGTGGCACACAGAAATGTTGGTAAAGCTTGGCGTGGCTATTGAGTAACGCCTTTGCGAGCCGCCTGTCAAATATTGGCAAACAAATTGAAGGCAAATCGAAAAAATAAAATACGCCAAACTAACGAACGTTGCGAGTGCACAAAAGCCGATATTTATGGAACGTGAGGGGGGCAGTGGCAGCAGCACAAACACTGTGCAGCGCAGCGCAAGTTGACCGGTTGCCCAGTTGAGCAGTTGAGTTCGGTTGCAGCTCAAGCTGCGGCCACGTGGATAGCGCACACCTGGGAGCCGGCTGGGGGCTCAGGTTGAGCTGGGGCCAAGCCCTGCTAAATAAATTAAGTGCCATGTGAAAATATTTTACGCGTGCTAAAATCCGCACTAAATATGCTTTGTATTTATGTATAGTAATAGTTGTTGTTGTAGTTGTTGTTATTGCTATTGCTGCAGTATCCATGAGATACAAATCGGCATTGTTACTGGCGTCGTTGCGGTTCATTAATTCCGCAGCGTTTGACAAATGCAGCGCCAGGAAACGACGACAAACCATGAACTGATTTGAATACTATTTGGTCGATGTGGTGCGGCATTTGCATTTTTAAACGATTTTCCCATTTGGGTTGTATTTTTGGGCTTGTTGAAATTATGTATGTAAATGTCTGCTGACGGCTTCAGTTGTCATGGGTTATCAACGTTTGAACCCGCACTTAACGATAAGAGGAAGCCACAAGGCAAACACAACAAAACAAACACAAACACATGCACACATATGTGTATGTATGTGACTGTTTACATGCACAAACACGTTTTGAAATACTATAAGAACTGCACTTGATTTCTGGCTACACCCCAAAACATAATTTTGGCATACCACAGCCAGATGAAGCTCGAAGCTGATAAATTCCAAAATATTTGCGAATGTATAGTACTTAGTCGAGGAAGTTTGGGGAGCATATAGATAATATATATAAAAAAATATATTTTTATATTAAATAATTATCTATGTTAAGTACGTTCATAATTAAATTTTTTTTATTTAAATCATTGATTTAATATATTTTGTATAAATAAAAAAAAATATAAATAAAACATGATTAACAAAAGCTTATTCGTTTTAAAATTATATAGTCACTAGAGTTAATTAAATTTTGCAAAAATAATTATGCCCATATTTTGGTAGGGTATAGCAGGAGAGAATGTACAGGAAGGAGTGTGCAGGTCAAGAGTATTAGACAAACATATACCCCGTACTCAAAGTTAGTTGACAGAACTTGTAAATCTGTAAATCTTAACGAATATACGTAGATGCAATATTAGCTTATATTAGAATTATGTAATTTGCATGATACAAACATTGTCATATTAGCAGCATAGTCCAGCTTAACCAATTCAATCGACTATACAGGGTATACAAATATGCAGCATACAAGCATATGAACATGGGTCTCACCACAGCAACTGCTGCCACATAAAATGCAACAAAATTAATGTTGCCAATCTGTAAATTCTTGTAAAACGTAATTCAAACTCGACGCACACAGGCACACACATTCTCACACACACATGCCAGATGCCCAAACAAGTCTTCACCGAGTTTCTAGAGATGGGCAATAAATGGCTTAGCTAGTTAATCAGTAATCGA